GATTCTGGTGTTAGATAAGAATTGCTCTCGATGCTGGGCGCGAGCTGATAGTGTATATAAGATTCTGGTGTTAGATAAGAATTGCTCTCGATGCTGGGCGCGAGCTGATAGTGTATATAAGATTCTGGTGTTAGATATGAACTGATCTCGATACTGGGCGCAAGTTCATACTGAATACACATTGATCCTGACACTGGGTGTAGGCCATTCCGAATACTAGGTATGAGCTGATCCAAATATTGATTAGTATTCATAAAGTTTTGGCAGCGTGCCTTTGGTCCACGTTTTTTACCCAGGAAAGAAATACAAAGTCGATTGTGATTTCTACATTTTGCACAGATGTCCTCTCCAGAAAGTCTTTCGCATCTTTCGTGCCTCCACTGACAATTTATACAAGCTACGGTCGCTTTAGTACGTTTTCTTTGTTGTGGCATTATTATTCAGTAAAAACGAAAATTTTAAAAAAAGGTTTTTCGAAATGAGATTGCAGTGACTGTTCGACTTAAAGAAGGTCAAGTTTTGATGGGATTAAGGTCTGAAAGCAAAGTTTTAAATGGAATTTTTCTTGTAAATTCGTTATTTTTGTAATTTTTATAAATTATTTTAATGCGAATGTACCCAACTAATTGACAACTAGTTGACTAGTTGTGTTAGTTGTGTACAAATGTAATATTATCTAACCAATTAATTGAACCTATTGATCGGCTTAGTTGTGTTAGTTGAGCATACAAATATAGAATCTTTTTATTAGAAGAATTTTAGATAGGCATATACAACTGCTGAAAAAGGTATATTTATTTCCGTCATACGTTTTATCATTTATTAGATCGATTAAATCGACATCATTAATCTTAATTAGAGTCAAACGGTCTACCCAGGGTTGAATAATAAACAGTGAGCCTATGATAATCTGATTAATGTTAATCTTAAGTAAACAGTGAACTTATGATAATGATACAGCGATACTGTACTTTGTTATCTGATTAATGTTTATCTTAACTTGAATAGTAAACATTATTCGGTGAACTTATGATAATTGGGGTTTCAAAGTTAACAAATAAGTGACGCATTTCGAAAATAAATAGGATTTTTTCAATAGTATTTTTACTATGT